CGCTAGTGTGTATCATCCGTTGTACTCCATACAACATATTATGAACGGGATCCCCCTCGGAAGTGCACCCTGTTGTACCCCACACTGCGTTTTCAAAGACGAATGAAGCAGTGTATTGCTCTATCGATTCCAGATCACTCACGGTTCAAAGTAACGTCACGAATAACAAAGACACATCTTAAAGATATTTTATTGTAGATGCGTAGGTCTTAACCACAGTTTAGAATCGCTGTACCTCGATTGGAGTATTAATCCATTACGTATCACAAAGGAAAACAGCGATGGCATCTGTTGTCTGTGGTAACTTAGCAACCATCAATATGGATGAAGGTTCATTAGAGGAAGGGTGAACTGAAGCTAATTACACCGTCGCGTAGAGGCAGACCAAATACACTGGAAAGTATGAACGCCGTAGGGCGGTTTGCTGATGCAGCTGTGCAAGCAGCATCGTCATTTAACTATTTTCAGAAAGTGATAACAGTATTGTATTCAACGGGTAGCTAAATATATTTTCCGTCAGTGATTCGTAAATATTAGGTCACATTTTCCATCATTTGATTTCTCGCTATACAGATTCCAGGACATTAGTTGAAAGTGACGACACATGTGTTTGAAATCAATTTTCTGACTGCGCAGTCTATTTTATTCATGTGACAGCTGTTGGGATATACATAACGGGCACATTCAATATAACCTCCAGACATATTTATGTATTTTCATGTACATACTCAGTCAATGTAGACTTAAGCAGTCCTTGTTGTCGAAAAGCAATCATTACGATTTATGGCTGGTGACAAAACTGTTCTTTCTTACGAATAACAGCTAACAAATATTTTACCACCTGTCACCCAAAATGTAAGCGTCTTCGTATGAGTTTAGTCGACAGGCATAAGGGGCGGTTTACTTAGTAAGTCTGTATATAGGACTGTGTTGACATCACACAGCATGAACGGGGCAGTCCGTCAATATATCAATATATGAGTCGGGGGATTTCACAATTTCGTCTCATTATTATGGATGCTTGTCTGGAACTAGTATATGATGTTCGACGGTTCACGATGATATTTATTTTGAGTTGCTAAATCAACACCTTACACTAACAGGGATCGAAATAGCGCTAAATTTGCACGGTAAATATTGAAACGGCATGGATAAAATGTTTTCAATTTGGCGTGTTGGCACAGCTAAAATTATGAATATAATACCATGATTCATTTAATAGAAAATGCGATCAATTTGACCAACTCAAATTATTCAAACTGTCAATCGGTGGCACTCACCACATAACATGGGCGTGGCTGTTTGTCACTGCACATAACGGGAAATCTGGTTTTGGATGACAACATAGTTTATGTGTTAGTTTATGGATCCAGGACAAATGAAGCTTACCTGTTCTTGCACAATGGTAGTGTTCAGGTAAATACAGTTCTCAAATTTACAGGAAGTTTACTGATTATTAAACAATAAACTGAAATGACACAGTAGTGATGTTTTAAGTTTAATTGGATCTTCAAAATGTATGGGCACACGTATTTTTACAAAAGCACACCTAAATTATCTGTCTGATGCCCTATGGCACCTTCCGACAAAAAATGGATTTCTATCTTTTCACTCCTACAGTTTTCTGCGTACGATTCTCTGTCCCACAGGATTATTGTGGCGATGCTAAAATGTGTCCTCTTGATGACCTTATGGGGGAGACTGGCCATGGGGTCATTAGGTACGTTTGTCAAATGTTCTCCGAATTACGCCCTTGACGCTACCCAGTGACCTTTACAGTAGGCGGTGGTTGGGAGGAAACTTGTGACGATTGTGAGGAAATGTGCTCCATGGCCGATAGAGGGGAGAGCAACTGTACTGGTCGTGATTTTCCGGATCTATTTAGATCCTTCTCCTTTTTAGGTAACAAGGAGAAAGGAAGGAAAACAATACATGGCAAAGACGTTATCAGGAGAAAGTCGTTGTGAAAACTTAAATAACTCACACAAATAACTTATGGGACAAGACACTACTGTCTCTGTTACTGATTGCAGAATTCTGACATTGATAAAGGCCTCCGAAAGGAAACATTCTCGAATTTAAGGAAAACCAAACTCTCAACAAATACTAGTTGGCGGTGTGTCCAAAAAATTGAATTCATAGGTTTGATTATGTTCACGAGTTGCAGATGTTACACATTAACAATGAGCCTTGAGAAACACTTGGGGGTTCACGCCAGTGGTGTGGTCGTCGTATTACAGAAAACACATGTTTTGCCAAACGAACAAACGCTATTTCAACCAAACTGCATGGTTAGAAGCTGGCTCAGTCTTGCACCAACACAATGACGGAAACTAAACACATGTATTCCCAGAGACCTGCACTTGAAGCTCCCGGTGACTGAGACGTAGTCTACATGGTCGGCTGGGAAAACACAGTTGGTCAAACATGCCCACATCATCACTGACAATGACGCAGTTATGTTCATTTAGAATTATTAATACTCATGATATCATGTGGGCCAGTTTTTATATACTTTACTGTGTCCAAACTCCAATGTCATAATCCTGGATGCGCTGCCTGGGCTAATTAGGCAAGTTTGTGGCTCTTCGTATTTAAATAGCCTTGCTTTTAACAACGTTAGCCTTGCTCCAAGGTTGCACTGAATGCTAAGCCCATGGATGTATAGTAATCCTATCCTTTAAAGAGGCAAGTCCAGATAAGGGGATAGTAACAGTATGGTGGAGGTACATCTATATTTTATCATTTAAACTATTAATTATTACCTTACAGACTTGTGCAAGTCTAGAATCACGTGTTCAGTCCCTTTAACGCTTCACCTGGCGATGTACACCCACGGATTGTTTACACTGGTATAGAAACCCAAGGTGGCCTCACGGGACTGCACATCGAACGAGAACTCCGGCCATTCGTTATTTCCAATACCGAGGACTCGAAACTCAAAACAGTGTATTGTTTCAATGATTTGCACGTGTTGTAATACACTGTACTTTCTGGATCAGATTTCAGTTATATATTTATTTAAATACATATCTGTTAAGGGTGTTAGTTGAACATATGGTTTTCAGAAAAGTGACACCATTTGGATTTCAGGTTTGAATTGGTCCACAGCATGCTGGTCATGAGAGGCGAATTAGAGGATTGGATGGCCATGCTCTATGACTTAGGGGATAGGGTGGTCAGGCTCCATGACAGGGGATTGGGTGGTCAGGCTACATGAATTATATGACTCAGGGGATTGGGTGGCAAGGCTCTATAAATCAGGTGTTTGGGTGGTCAGGCTCCATACCTCAGGGGATTGGGTGGTCAGGTTCCAGCACTTACATGACTCAGGGGATTGGGTGGCCAGGCTCTATAACTCAGGTGATTGGGTGGTCAGGTACCATGAATTACATGACTTAAGGTATTGGTTGTCTGTTTCCGAGACTTATATCAAATAACAACACAAAATATTAAATATGTGTAAATAGAAGTAAGAGCATTATGTGCAATTCACGCTTTGGTTTATTCGTCAGCTTTTTTCACCATCGCTGACATTTCTTTCCGGTGTTGTCGTACTGATCGAAGAAGACTAGCTGTAATAACTCCAGATGCGCGACTGCCGTGTCGTGCACGCCCTCGTAGGCTATACTGACCTCAATAACAAACGCACGACCTTCTAATACATTCGGGAATGAAATCGTGCCTGAATCATTTTCACAAGTAAATATAAACGAATCGACACCTCAGAGCGAGAATGCGTTGTTACTATATATTCCCTTGTTGGTGTTATCAGATCGCAGCTCAGTGTAATGAATACGTCATACCATCTGTGTTATCTCCGTTTGAAGTGAATAGCTTAATCGCCTTAATTTGATGTAACATACCCGTTTGAAACATGAGATGTATGTTGGGAAAAGCCTTTGTCGATGATAGAGTGAATTCAATCAACATTAACGGATGTGAAGCAAGTCATAGGCTTTAAATGTAACTCGTGAGACTACCCTCTGAAATTTTGTTGTTCTAAGTTTACGTTGATGAGGAGGTGAGTACATTAGTCGGGGGGAAAGCCTGGTGGTTTAAGTGTTCACTAGTCACCCCAGACCGGGTTCGAGTCCCGACATGAACACGGGAATCCCAAATTTACCCAGCCGAGATATCGCAAATGGTGTGTAACACACTGAGTTTTCTTCACTCCATGAAACAGCGTTTTTAAGTTACTGCTTGAATATAAACAGTACATGTCAACATAGTTTTAACACTTTGGAGATAAGGCACCTCACTATGATTTGCATGTGAATGAATGAAAACAGAGTGAATGTATTTTTTAAAAGGTGACTGAGCTCTAGCCATGCGCACGTTGTAAACAGCTTGACCTGACACACCCTCTAATCAACATGACCTGTACACACGGAAGTGTTGCGCAAGAACGTGTGGCATGATATCTTTGCGATCAAACTGGTCAAGAATATAATACCACTTGTAACATTTTCCTTAGCATAATGCGACCGGATACTTGTTCTATGGTGCAACATATTTCGCCTGTGCAAATAGCGTCACCTTGGTAGACTCTCATCAATGTTTGTCCTCAGGGCAAAGCAATGTGCTAATCTGCCGTGGTTTTGCTAGAGTGATTTCTCGGCTAATCTATGTAGCTCATCTAGTGACGACACACGAAAGGAATACCAATTAAAATACTTGAATATAACACAATTATATTTGCGAGGGACATTATGAATCACGTATTTGCAGGTTTTATTATCACTAAAACACAACCATCGTTGAGGTAAAACAGTCACTCATAGTGAATTGACCCAGAGGTTTGATCTTATCGTAAAGTTTGAAATGTCTTGTTTAACGACCTGAGATTACTTTTTAGTCTTTGATGAAGCGTTGCCTATATCTGAGTATGTTCTCCAAATTCTATCACAAACTGTATTACTCATAACTGCACGTACAGTGTCAGTACTGTTTATCAGCGTCTAGTTGTACATCTGGCGGCTAAAATATGAACTACTCACCCACTTCCGTGCATGTTGAGTCTGTGTCGTTGGAGCTCTGGCTGTCGTCGGGAGTTTTGTAAATGGAAATATTCGTACCAAGACCTTTCAGCGTCATGTCTCAGTCTCCCCCTCCGCTGTCATTCCACGACATCTCCCTCACTGCGACATCATCAACACGTGTGTTCAGTTCTGCTTGGGTGGGGCGAGTTGACTTCACCTCGCAGGCGGGCGAAACGTGGCGTTTATCTCAACTCGAGCAGACGATAATCCAAGCAGGCGGTCACAAGCAGACGACAGGGAAAAGGCGCGAAATCGTTACTTCCTTGAATGAAGTTTCTTTGACAATGTCTTGAAAGGCTTTGTAAACATCGATATGTGTGAACTGAATTGAAAAAACACTGAAACTGAACAGATTTCACAGAACTCCGTGTGACCTGTTTGTTCCTCGTGCGAGCTCTGTCAAGCTTTATCCTGGTCGGTCAGACTGTAGTTCTACCTGGATATCCAACCATCGAGAGCCTATCGATTCGCTTCACTGCCTGGCTTTCACAACACTCACCGACTGTGACGATTATGTCACGTGACCACTTTACATCCGGATTTGTTTCTAGGAAACAACACCACACATTGATATCAATCTTACTTTAATCGTTTTCGGTTTTACCATTGTTTTCAACATCCCATTTAAAGACGCGGTTACGGTCTACAGGAAACATCCGCTTTCTGTTGTAAAACAGAGTTATAGCTGTATCTCAGTTGTTATCGGTTCGTCTTTACGAGTTAATTAGACCAGCGTTGTTCGAAGTCGACAGTAAATATGGATTCTAGGGATGTAGACAATACAAAGTTAAGTTAATTATTTACATATTGCTCCATCCGTCGAACTGTCACAGCAACATCAATATATTTTAAGTGGATTGCGCGAGGCTACCCGGGCGAAGCAGGTGCATTGATAGCTTGTGTGAAACAAGACGTACGACTGAAGACCCCATGTTCCGTTGTTTGTTGGCCAGTTTCGGGAATTTATATTTCACGACTGTTATGTAAATTAATCGTTTGTTCTCTTTACAGTGAATTCTTATGAATATACACAGTAGCTTTTTAGGTAATCGTCCTGTAGTTATGTCTGACTGACTGACTGAGTTTGGTTTTACGCCGCTTTTAGCAATATTCCAGCAACATCACGGCGGGGGACACCAGCAATGGCCGGTAGTTATGTAAAAAACCCTTGTTCTCTTTAACCTTATTAATCCAGACGGTTGTTTTTCAGGCAATCGTTCGTGCAGCGTGTTTTCTGGATAAAAGGACACGTAGTACTTACTGATGTTCCGTCTTGTAACAAGAGTGTCTTGTAGGTGAGGTTAGCATAATGGATAACGGACTGAACAGGTTTTAGAACAGATTTTCACAAAAGCGAACGGATACAAACTAATATCAAACACTCAAAGCAACTATTTCTAGACACAGGGGCTTGTATTGCTGAAAATAATACATCCTAGGTCCAACACTCGTTCACTGATAATCCTCTACTTATACTAGCCCCTGTGTTGCTAGACAACTGTTTTTTCGCTGTCCTCAGCAATATCCCAGCAATATCAGCGAGGGCGGCACCAGAAAGAGGCATCTCAGTTTGTTTGGTGGGATCGAAGCCGATCCGAAATGTTGATGAGAAAGGCATTACTTACAAGGTAGCAAGGTTACCTAGCAACAACAGTAGAACCAATTCAAATTCAACACACGGTGTTGATTAAAGATCATCACTTTTCTTGTATGTAACTAATCGATTACACTCAGGTATCAATTGGAGGCGTACGCGTGTTATTGACTGTAATAAGTAAACAAGTGACTAAGTACTTTACAAATAGCCTGTACTTTACTGCATGTGTGTACTTTTCCTTTCTTACAATTCGTCGCTGACATACACCGCAACAACAGCTGGTCGTATATTTTCACCGAGGCTGAACGTCAACAAATTGTAATAGGTTGTGCGTATCTTTATGAAGATTATATCGTTGTGAGATATGATTGGCCAAATAACTCTAGCTTATAAACAAAGCCATACCAAAAGGGAAAATATGAATAACCCCGAGAAATCTAGCATGGCACGTAATTAATGAAATAATTTAAATGGAATATTCATTATAAAAGTTCCTGTTTAGAAACCGTTTAAAATACTGTTTTTAAGTGGAATATGTCTTTGTGATGTCAGTGATAAGAGTCCCCTAAGGCATTGCTTTGTTTATTTTTTAGTAATCTGTACACATTATAAGGTGTTACGAGTTATCTGTACTTCGAGACAATGTATGTATGTATGTATGTATGTATGTATGTATGTATGTATGTATGTATGTATGTATGTATGTATGTATGTATGTGTGTGTGTATGTATGAATGTATGTGTGTATGTATGTCTGTATGAATGTGTGTGTATGTATGTGTGTGAGTGTGTGTTTGTATGTATGTATGTGTGTCTGTGTGTCTGTATGTGTGAATGTGTGTGTATGTATGTATGTGTGTGTATACATGAATGTATGTGTGTGTGTATGTATGTATGTATGTATGTATGTCTGTCTGTCTGTCTGTATGTGTGTATGTATGTATGTGTGTGTGTATGTATGTATGTGTGTATGTATGTGTGTGTATGTATGTATGTATATGTGTGTCTGTTTGTCTGTCTGTATGCATGTATGTGTGTGTATGTATGTGTGTGTATGTATGTATGTGTGTGTCTGTCTGTCTGTATGTGTGTGTATGTATGTATGTATGTATGCATGTATGTGTATGTATGTATGTATGTGTATGTATGTATGTATGTGTGTATGTATGTGTGTGTATGTATGTATGTATGTATATGTGTGTCTGTCTGTCTGTATGTGTGTGTATGTATGTATGTATGTGTGTGTTTGTATGTATGTCTGTATGTGTGTGTATACATGAATGTATGTGTGTGTGTATGTATGTCTGTCTGTCTGTATGTATGTATGTGTGTATGTATGTATGTGTGTGTATGTATGTATGTGTATGTATGTGTGTGTATGTATGTATATGTGTGTCTGTTTGTCTGTCTGTATGCATGTATGTGTGTGTATGTGTATGTATGTCTGTATGTATGTCTGTATGTATGTGTGTGTATGTGTATGTATGTCTGTATGTGTGTGTGTGTGTGTGTATGCATGTATGTATGTTCTCTTTAGTAATATCGTTTTATGACAACATGCTAGCTAGTTTTACTATAATATCTGTGATGCACTAATAGTTTTACTGCTCTTCGTCAACTGGCTTTTAATTTCTAATTTTATTGATCTATAATATAATAATTAATTGTTTTCGTCACGATATGTCTGAAATATTGCCGATGTGACGATAAATATTAACTCTCGCACTCACACTGTATGTATGTCTGTCTGTGCGTGCGTGCGTGCGTGCGTGCGCATGTATACACCTTCACCTGATGTAGGAGTCGGGAGGTCACGTGACAAATTATGATTAAAACGGATTTTTTTGTGTTGTATGTTTAAAGGACTAGGATCGAGATAAATACCGTAACGATAATCATATATTTAAATACGATATTGTGCATTTGATGTGTGTGGGTGTGTATGTACGTGTATTGTAAGTAGGACACAGCACATTCTTCTTGAATGTAAATGCTCACGTTTCGTGATGGACAATACACAAACTACAACGACACACGTCCATCTATCATATGTTCGCAATACCGTGATGCATTATGCATATTTTCTACATTTATGAAGTACGAGCTCTTTAATACCGGCGTAGCGCTGACTTGACACTACCTGACAACGCACACCGCCACCGTTGGCGTGGTAGTTGTATAGCAGTTGAAGGCTAAAGTGTTATCAACAGATATTATTCACTCTGCAGCACCACTATGAAAAAAATAATGCAAGTTACAACATCGTTGCAGAAGTCGGAATTCGTTAAGATCGATATCTTTCAACAGATGTCGACGCACAGTAACACTATTCACTCCATGACGTTAAAGTTGTCGTTGTCGCCGGCCCAAGTTTCAATAGTAGGCGTGGACCATGTTTAGCCTTTCAGAACCATCACAATGCCACAAATATGTGTATATTATAATGTCTCCGTCGAGGCAGGTTCACGAAGTACCTGTACAATAGCTACCACCTTTCACTTGAAACACACTTTAAGCATGAAGATTCCGGGTGAGAATGTACAGCATCCCATGCCTGCTACAGTATGTCTCGAGTGGTCACTTGTTTGCTTTGATCGATGCTCATGATATTAATCACTGGAATGTGCGACACAGACTGCCGTCATATATCTGGAATAATGCACAATGGGTGCAGTGTTATAAGCACACAAACGTAACTCAGAAGTTAGCACTGTGCACAGAGTGTTGATTAACTCCGAGATTCGCGTAGGTTCGATTAATATCATGACTTTAATAACTTACAATAACGGCTTCTTTCTGGATACGGGGTGGTGGGTTAGCCAAGTGGTTAAAGCGTTCACGCCGAAGACCCGGGTTCGATTCCCCAAATAGGTACAATTTGTGAAGCCCATTCTGGTGTCCCCGCCGTAATATTGCTGGAATATTGCTAAAAAAGGCGTAAAACTAAACTCAATCACTCACTCTTTCTGGATACACATCTGTTTGCCATTTTGTTGAAGACATTGTACCCATGTGGATAATCGAACCCGGGCCTTCGGCGTGACGAGCGAACGCTTTAACCATTAGGCTGCCCCACCGCCCAAGTAGAGCATGAAGTGAGAAGATCGATCAATTTTACAAAGACATCCAGAGCCACCATTTTAGTTGCAGATGTGTGTATTGTGTTACGCCGCACCCGGCAACATTCCAGGAACATGGCGACAAACAATCCGGTGATTGATGTCATGAACAAAGCTTCGCGAGGTCAAGTAATGTACTCCGCCCCCGAGTCTGTCCAACCAAACCAATGCTAAACCTGAATCCCCTGCCACTGTGTCTAGACACGTCAACCATTGTGGCCATCCGATCACCATTACAGTCGTACCTGACGATAAGCACCGAGCACGGGAGACACTCGAACCCGGAAACCAGCTTGGCCTGTACGGCATATGGGCCCATTTCTGGTGCCCCCCGCCGTGATATTGCTGGAATATTGCTAAAAAAAAAGGCGTAAAACCATACTCAGTCAGTCAGTCAGTCAGTCGTCATACGGACTGATGGACATTTTAGATAACTGTAATTATTTTACGGCTCTTCTCATAATTTGTGTGTGTGTCTGTGAGAGAGAGAGAAAGAGAGAGAGAGAGAGAGAGAGAGAGAGAGAGAGAGAGAGAGAGAGAGAGAGAGAGAGAGAGAGAGAGAGAGAGAGAGAGAGAGAGAGAGAGAGAGAGAGAGAGGTCATCCAGTTGACTTGCCAGCGTTTACTTGTGTACATATTGTCAGACACATTTACAAGCAAGTTTATTCACCATAAGCCAACAGGTCACTGCATCTAGTCATGTATGCAT